GATTTACTTCAAAAGTAATTTCTCTAAGGGGTTCATTTCAATATTCATTTTTAATTAAACATTTTGAAGTAAATCGTCCAATTGCATAGTTGGTAAACTCATTTGTATGTTAGTTTAGTTCAATTTAAAATGAATACTGAAATGACTTCCCCCCCCTTAGAGAAATTACTTCAAGAGGTTATGAGTCGCTCTTCGAACTTTACTGTTCCGGATGAAAGTAATGTTGAAATATGTTGCAGCATTTTATGAAAAATCAGAATAAATTTACAATTGTGAAAATAAATATCTATTAAGAAACTACAATACTTACTAAATGCCTTACAATATAACAATGGTTGTCTTACGATTGTTCAAATGTACAACAAGCTATCATTAGAGGGCTCTCTTATTAAAGTGTTAGAATGCCTTATGGCTTATGTGAAGCCATTGTTTAACACGGATCACTGTAATCCTAATCCTGACATTATAAAAGGAGGCCTTTGGACCTTTTAATGCTTTGCATTTGTATAGAGACCAAGTAAATATATATTATAATAGAGATACTTAAAGAACTAATTGAACAACGTACAAATGAATTTACCATTTATGGAATTAGATGATTTACTTCAAAAAAACGCGCGTTGTAACCTTGACTTCCCATTGGTTATTTAAATGAAATAACGGGAATCGGTCGTTGGACTTCCCAAAATTTTGAATTTGTATACAAATAAATTACATATATTAAAATTCAAGAACTAATTGAATAAGATACAAATGAATTAACAATTATGGAATTCGACGATTTACTTCAAAAGCAAGAGGATGTAAAGGGCATTTCGTTCAAACAGTTCTTAATTAGGCAATCCCAGGTTATTACAACACTAAAAGATCCTGCGGTTTCCCTCTCAGAGAAGCTCTATCTTCTTGAACATGTCGATAATGATATCCTTCCATTAACAGTGATTCAAAGAATTGCCCTATTTAACTCATTCGCTGAGAATAGCACTGTCAAAACAACCCTTATTAATCTTCATTATTACACTGCGAAGAAAGAAGGTGCATCTATTACATGGGCATCTTTGAAGGATGGTATCTCCGAACTCCTTCAAGAAGAGGCTCTTGTGTCTGACAATTCGAGAAAGGGTCTTGCCGTTAAGAGGAATCCTCCTCGGAAATCTCAACTTCTCCAACCTAATATCCGTTGCTACAAATGTGATGGTAAGGGCCATAAGCTGAGCGTTTGTCCATCACGTACGTAATGTTGAGAAAATATATAAACTGGATAACGGAATCTATATTTTACCTTTACAAACAATACTTACTGATAATAAAGGGGAGTTATAAACCTGACTTCCATTGGTTATTCAAATAAAATAACGGGAAGCGTACTCTAATCTGGATCACATAAAAGAAGGTCGTTGGACTTCTTTGCATTTGTATAGAGGTTGAGTAAATTACATAGACAAGAAGATTCTAAAGCACTAATTAACGTAAAAATGAATTTACCAACTATGCAATTGGACGTTTATTTCAAAGCTTTATGTATGTTTTTAATGGATTAATATAAGGATTACTAATCACTTTCCTTCGGTAAGCAGCATATCTGAACGGAGAACAAACAAGTTGCTCTACTAAATGTATTATAATTATTTTAGTTCAAGAACAATTTATTCGGGGCGTAGTACTAAAATTTATAACTATAAAATAATATTGGCTACTCTCACTTTGCAGTACTGGCACATAAAGCAGCTCCAACTCCACTTCCATCTTTGGCAATTTTTAAGTGTACCTTTTTATTCTCCCCTTCCAAAGGATTAATTATATCCAATGCCTCTAAAACAGAAGTTTGAAAACCAGGATAAAACTCTACAACAGATCCATCACAACCAAATTCAAAGTCTTTATCATCATGGGAGTACTGAGTCTTGATACGATTAAGGATGGCTGCAACAGGAATAGCTGATAGATATGCAGCTCTATGGGCTATAGCCTGTGTTAATTTTTGAATAACTATTCTTTCTTCTTTAGTAGTAGGCAACCTCAATTCATTCTCCAAAATTAATTGGGACATTTTCAAGTCAGTCGAATCATCTATCTGTAAGTAGGACAAAACTTCAGACGACAACAACCATTCCTCAGACAACCTGTGAGGTAAGGAACCACCTCTAGATTTATATAACTCAACAAAGATAAGATCACGTTTAAATAAATCAATTAAACAAACACGTAAAATTTCTCCCATAAACATTCCACTAATCCTCTTTTCGAATAAATGGAACCCTTTGTTAGCAGTCTCTGAATCAACAATTTCATCATATTTAGTTTTTGGTAAGATTTTGAGCGTGTTATCGAACGAACCCCATTCAGTATTAATTACCATACCCTTAGCACCTTCTGGAATGTTCGAAGACTTCAATTTAGGAATATTATCAAGTGTCTCAAAATAGGCCCCATTAGTACCGGTACCAAAAATAGCACCTATAAATGTGTTGGCATTGGTCTTCTCAGGGTTATTAGAATAAGCTCTTGATAATAATGTACCAACAGTATCATTTGCTAATGCCACAACATCAACCTTACAGCCTAAGAGGTCAATATTAGATTGTAATAGCTCAACAACATCCTTGTCTATGCAATCAGGTAAGTCGAATCCCTTTGTCCACCGAATTAAAGTACCCCTATTTAAGGCAGTCTGATTGATGGGGAAGGAAAAGGTAAAGCCTAGCTTTAGTTTTTCATCTGATTCAAGGTCATCGTGATTATCTTTCAAGAATTTTTCAATCTTTTTCGCCAAGAAGGAAAATAAACTATCAGCAGTAGACCCTTTCATCAAATCCAAAGGGATACTGTATTTTGATTGCTTTAATTCGTAAGTGTGGTCTCCATGTAGATTAACAGAACAAACTCTAAAATTGGTACCACCTAAATCAGCCGCTAAGAATAAGCCTCTTTCTTTACCACTAGGGATACCAGTGACATAAGTTGGGATCATTGGCATGTATTCTCTTTTCGACAAGGTGTTCTGTAGACCAATATCCATTGACTTGGTAAATTCCTTAGTTGCAACTAAAAGAAATTCTTCAGTAACGGCGAATTGATTCACTATATCATCAACTGCTGTTTGTAGTTTTAAGTTTAACATAATTGATTTATATTTCTATAGAATAGAGCAATATAATGCTTTTCGAAATCATTCATTCTGAGATATAATGCGAAAATTCTGGGAATAACGATTTAATGCTGTCAGATCATTTTTTGTCATGGCATGCTTCTAATTCCAAGAATTTAATGAAGCAATTAATGCCGTAAAATTTGTTCTTATATAGAGTTGTTAACAATATATAACTATATATATATATATTATGGGTGTTTTGGACGTAGATATAATCTTTCACCTTTAATTCGGAGTATACGGAATACCCAACTTGCACGGGAAATTTTATTTCAACGCATAATTTAGGCTCATTTGCTTTATTCCATGGAATAGAAGTCAAAGGAGATTGTGATAGAATGTCTAAGGAATATATTGAAAGGGCGCAAGGTTTGATCAATCGCCATCCTTATTTAATGTTGTCCAAATCATGGTGTCCTGATTGTCACTATACCTACGAAATTTGGAATCAGTACAATGTGAAAGAAAAAGTTCATATAATTGAGTTGGATAAATTTGAAGATCAAAATGAAGCAGACGAATTAGAAAAAGCTTTTACGGAAATTGCTGGTAGAAAATGGGTTCCAACCATTTTTTTTAACGGAAAGATCTTAGGTACTGAAGAAGATTTGAAGGCATGGACAAAGGAAGGTAAATTAACAGAAATATTCAAAGACTCTAATCTTATTAATTAATTCTAGCTATATACATACATAAAACAATTCATATATTTCATACACTTACACATATTAAAATAAGTCATACGGAAAGCTAAATTATACCGATAATGGGAATTCACCAGCCCACTGGGAAATTTCTTTCTTAGCAGCTTGTAATTTTTCATCCTCAGTATTCAAAACCTTGTTTTTGAAGTCCTTCAATTTGTTGGCATCTTTTGGTAAATTAGCTTGGATCTCCTTAGCGTAATTAACAGCAAAGTCAATATAAGAAACGATCTTCTTGAAGTCTTCTTCACCCAAGCCCCTGGTGGTCATAGCTGGAGCACCAATTCTAACACCACCTGGAACTAAAGCTGACTTATCACCAGGAATGGAATTCTTATTCAAAGCAATGTTAATCTTTTCGCAAATAGTTTCGACTCTAGCACCATCAATTTTTTTATCTTTCAAGGAAACCAATACCATGTGAGAATCAGTACCATTTGAAACTAAAGTGTAGCCCTTATTCTTGAATTCTTCTTCCAAAATCTTAGAATTTTTCAATACTTGTTCTTGGTATTGCTTAAATTCAGGAGTAGCGGCTTGTTTCAATGCAGTAGCTAATGCTGCGATGGTGTGATTATGAGGACCACCTTGGTGACCTGGGAAAACAGAGAAATTAATTGGGTTTTCTAAGTCATATAAGATTTCTTGACCAGTCTTTGGGTTGATCGATCTAACACCTCTTCTAAAGAAAATCATAGCACCTCTTGGACCTCTTAATGACTTATGGGTAGTGGTGGTGACAACATCAGCGTATTCGAATGGAGATGGAATTACACCAGCAGCGACTAAACCAGAAATATGTGCCATATCAACAACAAGATAAGCACCAACTTTGTCGGCAATTTCTCTCATCTTCTTGTAATCGATAAGACGACAGTAAGCTGACGTACCTGCAACCAAAATTTTTGGTCTGAATAATACGGCAGTTTTTTCTAACATGTCGTAATCAATCAAACCAGTTTCCAAGTCAACTCTGTAAGGCATGGTTTCAAAGTAGGTTGAAACGGCAGAAATCTTTCTAGAATCGGTTTGATAACCGTGAGATAAATGACCACCATGAGGTAAATCCAATCCCATTAACCTTTCATGAGGCTTCATCAAAGCCTGATACACTTGCAAATTGGCTGGAGAACCAGATAAAGTTTGAACATTGACACCCCATTTATCAGAAGTAACATTGAAGGTTTTCAAAGCTCTTTCTTGGCACAAAATTTCCATCTTGTCAATTTGTTCATTACCACCGTAGTATCTGGCACCAGGGTAACCTTCAGAGTACTTGTTACACATTGGAGTTCCTAAAGCATCAAAAACAGCAGTTGAAGTAAAATTTTCAGAAGCAATTAAAACAATGGAATGCTTTTGTCTATCGATTTCATCTTTGATGATTTGGTCAACTTCAGGATCGATGTCCTTCAAGTGTCCTTCGACCAATTGTTTATGAGATTCAGATAAAGCGTAAGGCATTGTAAATTGTTACAAATATGAGTATCTTTAGATAGAAAAGTAATTACTTGACAGTTTAGATGTTCTTTTAAGAAAAAGATAGCAATAAATTTTTAATCTATCACGCAATCGTGCTCATTAATATTTATCCAGCCCGAGTCAAAAGAGTCATTATAATTATATTTAAATTACATTATTAAATATAACGTATAGTAGATTGATCTCAATGTCAATATTTCTTCTACACATTCTATTAGTTTTACACGTTATATTGTATATTAATTAATAAAGTAAAAACATAACGATTAGTGCCTCATGGTACACTAAAAACTATATCAATCAGTATGTAGTCCTAATGATAGATAAATCCCTTCGTATGCTAATATACTGCACTATATCTCTATACTGCAATATAGTTATATCTTAGCATACTTCTATACCTTATGATACTATATTCTAACAATTGCAAGGATGAAAAATATGTCCCTTAGTATAAAGTAACCCTCAACCTATGTGATATCGCCAATTTTGGGACAACAACACATAAACAGCTAACACCATTCAAAATAAACAAATTCAAATTATAATTCGAATAATGAGTACTAATCAAAAATAAACTGATTGGTACAAGCATCAAAAATTTCTTCGTTGGGGTATATTGGTCACCATTATCTATTTGCTCCCACATGGTCAAATCATCATAGGCACCGGAATTGAATTCAAAAGGGGTTCCTTTAACTTGATGGAACATTATATACGACCCAATATTATACGTTAAATTGGTCAACGTCCACTTCCAATCATTATTCAATACTGTTATAAAGTTGAAAAATATCTTCAAAAATAAGATCAATACGATATGAATAACCCATGCTCCTTTAGAATGAACCCAGTTGGCATTAACATTAGGGTTTAATGATTGATCAATTTTTGTCTCTAATGTATCTGGCTCAAGATGCTGAATTATTGATGATGACCTTCTCTTTCTTGTTGTGACAGTATGAGCAGAATGATGTGATTGTGTTGGCGTTAGAAGATTGTTATCATCATTGCTATTATTATTCATCTTTGGACTATATTGAGACATTTCTGAAAGTAAATTATTGTCTACAAGTAGCTTTGTGAGTTCCCCTTTTAAATTCAATACTTTAAATAATAGATCCTATCTGCTTTTTTTGTTAATGTATATGACTTCAGATACTTTAAATTATAAAAAATAAGTTAAGCTAAATTAGTTTGCAATTAATTGAAAAGTCGATGTTTAAAGCATGTAAGATTAAACCAATGCTTTTTATAGCACTATCGTTTGTGTTTTGCCTTTATATTTGATCATCAATATCGCATTCGCAAAGAATTTTTGAAAGCATTAAGGGTGACAATATCTACAGTTACCCGGCCACAAATATACAGAACTATACGACATACAAACTACTTCGGGATAAATATACCTCCTGAATTCCAGCCAGATGCAGTGATAGCTAGCCATTTTCCATTCGCTGATGGTGATTTGACCAACGATGGATTATGAACTAACATGCCTTTTCCGGGACCTAAATCTGTGACTACGCTATTACTTGAGTTTTGACTGATAAATTGATCTTTTGCACCTAAACCTAAGCAACCACATCTGCTTGACTCAGTACCCCAGCTGTATAAATCACCTTCATCTGTTAAGGCCATGTAGTGGTAGTCTCCCATTACCACATGTATTATATGATTTTTTTGTAACTGAGGTATAATAATTGGGGGTTCTTCCGATTCCTCTTCAGTTGAGACTTTTTTTCCCAATAATACCATTCCGTCATTGGTAAAAACCGAAAAGTTATTGTAGCAACCGGTTATTTTCGTGAAGGATGCTTTACCATTATTGTCTATATTATAATTGTTCAACCATTGGTCAAATCCCAATACTGGAAACGGATCTTCCACCAAATTTATATCAGTAGACCCCGAAGCATATCCGTACGTATGTAAATTGAATCTCATTAACAGTCCATCCTTTATGTACAATATAAAATCACAGCCTGCATGAAAATCATCAATTTTACAGTTACCAGTATTGGGGATAATTAGATAGTTTGCGTTTGAACACATGGTATTATCCTCAAACGACTCTTTAGTAACAGAAGACCTAGAATACCAAACAACTATACCAATGTGATTGATATAACACGCCAGCAAGTTCCAACCAGCAGAAATTTTATTTATTGAGTTATATTTTAATCCTTCAAAATTTATATGAACTCCAACATTACTAGTATTTCCAGTATCCCAAGAAATAATATTTTGATAGTTATCGATAGCAATAATATGCTCTCTTCCACTTGATATCGAAATGATATATCTGTCAGGAAATTCAGGGTTATCAGGCAATAATAGCTTCGTGACAAGGTTTGTTTCTTTTACTTTTTTTTGATGCTTGACTGTAGATCCAGTCTGGCTTGGAAGGCTTAAATCTAATTGCTCAGGTGGTTTAGTTAAATTTGAATTACTTTGTCTGTCAGAAGATGGATTTGATGTAGGTACTTCAATATTTCTATCATATCTTCTTCCCATAAAGGGCATCAACATACCATTCAATGATCTTCTAGATCCAAGACTCTCAACGTGAGGGATTGATGCAGCTGTAGGCTTATAATCAAAAGCTTTAAAAGGGCCCGGAGTCAGAGTAGACCTCTCCCCTTTTTTCCAGTCAACACCCGTAAAATATAAGTCTCCCTCATTAGTGAGTATTTGAAAGCTAAACCCTCCTGCGCTAATATCACTAACTATAATTCCATTGAATGTCACCAAATTCGTTGGAGTATGTACATTTTTCAGAATGCCAGAGTTAGTTATATTTTCAGACGGCGCCTCACTTAACAAGTAACCTAGCCTTCCCAATTGCGACGATCCCCATGTATATAACTGTACTTGATTAGAGCTTCTTAGTTTGAATAACTCTTTCCAATTGTAGTTTGACAAATTTAATGGGGTCGGTTTAGATCCAAACTTTTTTAAATATAGAAGATGAAAAATGTCATTAGTTGTCAAATAGCAATAGAAACTATGAGACACCAAAGATAATGAAAAAATATCTTCAGGCGATAAATGAATTGCAATATTCGAACATATAA